CTTGCAGATTCGTGCATTCACCTCATCTGTCACACTACAATCAGAACTAATACAACTTCCAAGACACGTAAAACGCTCCACAACTTCCAATGCCTCTCCCTGGATCGTAAGTGGCGTGTTCAGTGACTGCACGTCCACAAGCATGACCTTACACTTTGTGGGTGCAAAGTGCATACCAAAGGACTTTGGTCAGTTCATCCAAGAATACTCGCGCCTTCTCCGCCTCTTCGAACATGAGAACGATGTCGTCTGCATACTCCAGACGACAGGCTATTTGAACACCAGGGTTTTGGAGATCCTGCAGCGTTCGTCTCATTATTTCATCGACCACAAAGTTAAAAAGGAATGGAGAGAGTGGGCTTCCCTGACTGACACCGCTTTGTGTACGGAAGCTTTTGGAGAGCTCTCCGTACTCTCTCCCACGTCAATCAATCTGAGAATACAAAGAACGTATTATGTACTCGATTTTTCAGCATCAATTGGCTTCACTGACAGGACGAAACCTCGGTTAAAAGAACAATGTAAACGTGAATGTGGCCACGGCATTTCTGTTGGGTCTGCTTGAGTTTTCCAGTCACCTGGCAGTACCTGAACAATCCTATGCCCAGTAGGTGGCTGCTGACTACATCCACCTCGTTGTCCGCCCCATGGTGTGTCAAAACAGAGTTGAGCAAGACATTCCGACAAGGCAAAAAAGAATCACCTATATTGATCACTAGAAAGCATTTGTCTCTTCAACAGGTTCGTTCAAACAAAGTCGTTCAAAGCAAAACCGGGTCAGATCGATCGATTTATAATGTCCGTAGATGATGAGCTCTGAGACGGCACGTCCGATGGCGATGGCATGTTGTGCTCCGTGTCCGCTAGATCCGTTGCAAAAGAACATATTCACATAGAACGGATGGTGACCGATGATCAAGTTCTGGTCAACTGTGTTGTAGTCACAAATAGCCGTCCACGCGGAAGTGACCTGACGGAAAGGCAAGGGAAGGAGACGGAAATGAAGATTAGTTTAGACAACCTCTCAACACACTTACCTCCGAAGGGTGACTACGCTCCCGAAGAGTTCATGAATGCCTTCTCCACCAGGCGCGACTTAGCGTGCGATTATCTCGAAGAAGAGACCACCAGATGAAAGGGGTAGCGGGGTAGCCGTTGGCGAATTACTGTACGAAAAAGTAGCTAATATGATGTCGTAGTGGACGGATGTGAGACTGACCGTAATTCAAAGAAACATTGCGATCCTCAAGTTGAAAAGTGGAGTCGATTTTGCTCCAGTAAATAGGGTTTTGGAAGCGCGATAAATGAGGGGACGTTTTATTCCTCAGTTTATTACAGTGCGCAACTAAGGGTTTGAGGTATGACCTTTTATGCATAAATGATAGCTCAGCGGAATTACCGGCATCTCAACTGCTCCTGTCCGGGTTGTGTGACCTGGTAGCAACTCGGCCCTCATGCTTCCATCGGATAGTACCGCTCAGCTGTAACACCCGGTGCCTAGCTGCCATGCTACCCGAAGGAAGCATGAGGGCTGGGATACTGCCAGGTTGCCCAAGCCTACACAGGGGAAGTCGAGGGGCAGAGGTCGGGTTGAACCACGGACCTTCTGGTCAGTAAATTCGCGCTCTAACCCATTGAGCCATCTCGCCCCTTGGATAGTACGGTAGTAACTGGATACCCAAAAGGATGTGAGATCTGAATGACACCCGCCACGTGGATGGCTGCATTCACGCCAATGGGTGTACTTGACGACAGCATAGGTCGGAATTGGCCGTTCGTCTACACATACTCGTAGCTCACAGCACTGAGCGAATGTGCATGGCGATAGGGTATTGGATTTTGTGGACGCTATAAGTAGAAACAAGAGCTTGAAGACTGGAACATTGGTGGTTGGCCAGTTAGCTGTTGATCCATTCAACGAGCTCGGCAATTAGCTAGCAGGAAAAGCTAATTTCCAGGCGCGGTCAACAGATCAACCAGCAAATGAACGCACCCAATCTACAACGATTCCGGCACATTCCTGATGATTGAAACAGCCTGTCGATACCCCCTTTCGGGCCCTAGTCTAAGGTCCCCCCTAACAACCTCACATGGTCCTTTAAAAAGGGGCGATGTCATCTGTGGTACTCAGCTCTCCGTTTCTCATCGCCTTGAATTGTAGCTACCGTCGGTCTCCTGTATACTGAGCAAAGCCTTCCTTTGGGCGTTCAAGGTGCCTCAGTTACACTGACTCCTGTACATCTACCTACCCGCCTGTCTAACACTATGTTCACTATACAAATTCCCGGAGTCCTGAAGCGTTTTCTCCAACCCGAACGATGCGAATTTGACCCAAATGATCCAAGTGGACGCGTGGATCATACATGCCCAACCTACGAAAAAGCCGGATCTATGTTAGACCCAGAAATGGGATTTAAACACGCCGTTCCTTGGCTACGTGGGAACAGGGGAGTAGACATAACGCTGAACAAGGCTCAGTTCGACATGAAAAACAAAAAAAATGTTGTTGAAAGGCTGCCATTAGAAAAGTGTACAGCAAATCGGTATCGGGACGACGTTTTTATCGCTGCATTACAGCGTTTGCTTGAACAGACGAATGACCGAGGAGCGACCGCAGTTCTAGGTGAACCTCGGCCGCATCAACCTGCAAAATCGGACGGCCGTTTGTAAATTTACCATCCCCAAGCACTGAAAGTCGCTTCCGACAGGAAATGTTTTCCCCCCAGCATTCTTGTCCTCAGTGTTCGACTCACGTTTTGCTTGTTATTTCCACTGTAATGAGTAGGACATATCCGGGTGAGCTCCGTTCACGTCGACTGTCAAAACACAGGAAAGAAACCGTGACTAAGGCGTAAGCTTCCTCTAAGAAACGACCGTTTCTAACACGATCGCGTGGCGGTACGCGCAATTTTCCGCCTCCTATTAGTCCTTCCAAAGTACTGCACTCACTTGTTACTCAAAACGAGTCATCAAAGCGAATGACAGCAAACGATGCATCGCCCAATCCGACGGCGGAGAAGGATACTTTCACACGAAGCTTCATCGATGTTCGAATGACCTATTTCTCCACAATTTAACAAAGTTCATCTTGTCCGAAAAAGCCAAGAGAGTCAGGCGTACTTTGAAGAGACATTAGCGCCTTGAGACTTGCGAGTGCTGCGCGCAGCCACTCAGCTGCACTGGAGAGAAAATGGCCACAAGGAGGTTCGTTGGATAGAGAAAGCGATGCATGGTACAACCGTCAAGCTGCATCGATTGGTTAGTGGTCACGATGACAGGTCAGGCTGGAGAGACAAGAGTCGTGACACCACAGTAAGACAGCACATTCGCCTCATCAATCAATAATTGTGCCCTCAAATCCGGTCAGAAGGTGAAAATGAAAGCATATATTTTGATGCGATGTGATCGACCAGCAGTGCACGGAGCAAAAGAGCGGATTTATGGACTATTTTGCCGACAAGCACTCTGCGAGGAAGCCTTGTTTAGCTAGAAGCAGCTTAATGGTTAAGAAGCGAACTTGGTGACTGGAAGGTCCGTGGTTCGAACCCAACCCCGACTGCGCCTGTTTGGGGCTGGAAAGCCTGACAGTACCTTAGCCCTCGTGCTTCCTTCTAGTGGGCATGCGCCGAAAGGGTGTCACAGCTGAACGCTCCCTCTACAAGCAATCACCACCAAAGCAATACTTCCAAGAAAGGAAGAATTTTGACAACCGCCAATGGAGCAAACAAGATTGCTTCCCCCTAACAAGAAATCGTGATCCCTGCAGCGGCTGGGAGGGGACCACGCGAGCGGTGCGTAACGCAAAATGAACCGAGTTTCACTCATTCAAGGCGATTGCTAATTTGCGGCTGAACATCTAGCTCACAACAGTTGCTTGCAGTGGGCTATACGGAAGTCTTGCCGAGTGCCTGGGAATTCACGTCCCTATTAAGGATGATGCGGGAAGGTCGAAACAGGGCTTATGGGTAATTACACTCATTTTCACGTGGGAGACTCACCTGGAACTCAGCCGAATCTTTTGCTTATGATGTTTTTAAGCAACTAAATGTGCTGCACTAGGCGGCCTCATGCTTCATTCGGCACGATCTTCGAGATACATTGTAATGTACTACTCATAAGGTCGCTGAAAACTAGGGGGCTGTGCCTGCCTGGTGAACCTCACAAAGGGGGAAACCTGCCGTGGACTATTGAAGAGTTTTCGGCAACCTTAGGAGTAGTGTATTGCGTCTATACAATGTTTACGGAATCGGATAGAGCAAATCGAGGGGTGGATACATTTTATGTATGGAAATGCCTTTGAACTTGGAATTCAGCTGACAACCAAAGTAATAAACAGATTCAGTGCTCTTCAATGATGTTTCTTGTTGACACGGATTACTAACTTGGCAATCTTTTATAAAGTGAAGTCTCATCTTAGATACAGTGAAACGAGCACGTTGGAACCAACACATTGTAGGGGCGATGCTGTAAAGGACAATTTGAAATCTACGGGTTCGAAATCGGGAGGCGCCAACGAAAGATTTTTTTGAGATACAATCAGAAGTTTCGACACATAGGTTGTGTACAGAGCCTCTCCGACTAACAGCACTATCATTCGAATACATATCCAAGGGTTAATCGATGATAGGTTGAGGGTGGTTTTCCGAGCTGCCATTTAGTCCAATCAGAACGATCGCTTCAAGGCCACGAAGCCCTATTGGTGACGGTTGAACCCAGCGGTCTGCGAAACACCTGACGAATGGAGGAGTCAGAAGCGGCTCCAGAAGAACTTCGGCTGCTGATTGGCTAGACGCTAGTCACGTGTTTAACCAGCTGATCCATGTCAACAGCACCTCAATTTCCAATGTTTAACTGGTGTTACATAGATAGCTTCATCGTACGGAAAACTGAGTGTCTGTGTCCGAACCCCACAAATGATAGGGAACATGCGTTGCACGCGCTAGTGCCACAAATAGGAGTCCATATCACAGAACGCTTCAGTTGTTCCCAGCACAACTTTCTCAAGGTCGTTTATCTTCTCGATTCCGATGTAGCTGACAAGTAGACTGATACATCATTGGGGACCACAGCCCAGCATTCTTGAAGTCTCACCATGCGAGCTAGTTTCGCCCAGTAACCCATCATAGTACTGGCCGGGTCCCCAGCCTTTTGCTCAGCCGACATTATTTTAAAAACGATTTCTGATCCAACGAGGAGAAAAGCCCGACGAACAGGCTATGGGTTATCCATATCCTTGGGATTAGACGATCCAATCCAGCAACAGAATGGATTGGTACACACAGAGTGGTGGGTAATGGACGGTGATACAAAAGTCCGCCGCTCGTTTTCAGAGATCAGAAGGCCAGAATCGGGAACTTGAGATTCACGCTAAATCTAGCGCTTAAACGGACAGGACTTCACCTGTAGCACCCTTTCAGTGCCTAACTGCCATGCTCCCAGAAGGAGGCACGGGATTGGGATTACTGCCAGGTTGCCCAAGCCTAGACAGGGGAAGTCGAGATGCAGAGGTCGGGTTCGAACCGCAGACCCTCCGATCAGTAAATTCGCGCTCTAACCACTGAGCTGTCTCGGACAGGAAGTGCTGGAACAAGAGTCGGGGGAGGGGAGAGTAGAATTACAGAAGGGCTTGCCACGTCCCCTCACGTTGTGTAGACTGCCTACGGACCCAACAAACTCATCGGTGATACGCGACTCGTAAAAAGATGAATTGAAGGACACAAGTTTCCCAAATGGTGGGCGTGGGAGCAACACGAGTGATATTGTCCTTTGGCGATCTCAAAAGTCCTGAGGTCAAACGTATATTTGGAGGTCACGAAATTTTCGGGTAGTTGGTGGGTTCACGTTTGCGTTTCGATGGTTGCCATGAGCCTATTCTGGTCTTTGACGCCGTAACCGAGGTAAAAATACCACTGGGCCAGAAATGAAAAATCTTGGGAAGTTATGCGCCGGAAGTTCCAGTGTTAGCGTAACGAAATCAACCAAATCGGCACAATAACGATTTCAAGTCAGAAAATCACACTTTTGCTAGTGATCAGTATTCGCACGATGGAATTGCGTTTTCGAAAGCTACGATGTGTCTCTGATGGATTAAAACGGACAGTCGATTGAGTTCAGACTTTTGAGTCCCGTAGGGAACGAGATGGATCGAATGGTTAGAGCGCGAATTTACTGACCGGAAGGTCCGTGGTTCGAACCCGACCTCTGCCTCTCGACTTCCCTGTCTAGGCTTGGGCAACCTGACAGTATCCCAGCCCTCGTGCAACCTTAGGGTGGCATGGCAGCTAGACCCCCATCTAGTTATCCCGAGGTCTCAGCGATGCTAGAAGAGCATTCCACCAGAGGTATGGTTACTTCAGTGGACGATAAAATCTGATGAGCTGCGAAAATATGAACGTAGATTACGATGGTTTTTGGTTTGAGCACATATGCAACAAAATGCAACATTTTGGCGTAAAAAAGTTTCATTCCACTCGCAAGGGTTTTGCAGCTAAGAGCATTGTGCGGCCAATGGACCCCCCAATTTTGCTTAGCGTCCGCAAACCGTCAAAAGTTGGGGCAGCCACAGTTCGCTGTGACCCCAACGTGAACGGTGCTCATGCAAAACGAACCGTTTATCACGGTCGCTTAGGAGACACTCTTCCCACAATGAGTTCATAACAACATTCGTCCTCAAACAGATGCACTCATCCCAGATGTGTGGCTGGAAGGACTCTGCTGAAGCATAGGCATAGTGATGACATCAAGTAACAGCTGCAAAAGATCAAGTTACTCACCTCTGCTGAAGCCAAGGATGGGATACGATGGCCGAGCTGTTTGCTCAGTTCACGTTTGAAGAAGGTGTAGTCCACGTCAAGTTTTTCAGCAGTTTCGGAAGTCTGACGAAATAGGATCAAGTGGAGAAAGGCAACAAGGTAGGTATGAACCAAAGTGAAATTGTACGCGAAAATGAGACCTTATGAGGAATGAATAAAAGCTCCAAAGTGCGAACTAGTGGTTCCCGCAGATCACTCGAGTACAGTGCTAAAGTGGGGAACTTAGCTCATCAAAGTTGGTTCAGCTGTAACACCCTTTCGGTGTCTAGTGGTCGCGTCATCCAAATGAAGCCCCCAAACAGAGATGCAAAAGTTTACGAAAACATGGGTTGGATGCCCCCTCTCTAAAGAGGTTAAAAATACAAATCCATTTACAGAGTACATCCAGAAACCACGGTCAGCACGGGATCAGAGAGCCATGCGGGGACCACCATCAGTCTTTTTTGTTCTTTTTAGCTCACAAACCATGCAGGAGATGCAGTGATAACAGCTTTTGTTTCCCGAGAATAAGAAGAGCAACGTGTTGGAGGCGACGGCCCAGTCAGTTAATCGACGTTGACAGAGAGCGAGATCTATGCGGTGAAGGGGCGCCATTGGCTGTGACAGCCGTAGCTATCGGGGTCACTAACCACTGGATTGTCTTGTCCCGCGGTCGGGGTGACGGCAGTTACCAGCGTGACTGAGCTGACCTGGCTAGTAAGGGCTTTCAGGCTTCTTTACTGACTCTGGATTGTCTTCGATACGGGGGTGGGTGAAAAGAGCTACTCTACGGGGCAAATGGTCCTCTGGCATAAGAAATAAATGGCCTAACCAGCATAACCGACGTAACATCAGCTTGATTGTTAAGAGTGGAGTGAACAATGCCAACTTTGTGGATCAGACACGAGGCCGCTGCTTGTGGAAGACCTTCGAAGATTCTGTGTTTGACCATCGGTGCCTCCGAGACATTGTGCGGGTTCAATGGGAACATCAGATTATTAATGCCGAGGTACTTCAGATGGTTTTCGGGAATGTTCCTTCTCCCTCGAAAGATCAGCTGGTCACACTCACAGGTTATGCTGGTTAGGCCAAGGGACTGCCAATAGATCAACGGACCGAAGAACAGGACTCTCTGTGAAGGCAAAGGAACAAAGGTCACGGAGAGGTCGAGTCTCAAGGCTAATCGGACATCTACCAATCGGAAGACAGGTCAACCAAAGAGCCAAAGGGAACACTCACCCAAACGACCAATGATCAGCCAAGGTCGACCTGGGTGAGAAGACCCTATATTAACACAACCACGCGGTGATGACGTCATCTAGACCGATGGCGAAATATTTGCGACCAAATAGCCCAGCTCAGTGAACAAACAGCAATACTCCCTTCAACTACATTAGTGGTTTGTCATTTAAAACTGGTTCGGCACGAGTATACTCAGAAAAAAGCTGGGACAAGCGCATCCTACAGTTTGCAGCTGAGGGCGGTTATCCTCAAGCCAAATTTACAGTCCGGTGGCGACAGTAACTTTTAGGCTGATAAAAACAGTAATATGAAATCCGCGATTAGCGAGTGCTTGTCTCGCCAGAGGGCTTGCAGGAGAGTTAAGTTTTCCCTTAGCGATCTCACAAACGACGGCAATAGGCACTTAACTGCCGTACAGCCTTGGAAAGAGGCCTTGGTAAAAACGGCAAATTGGGAGGAAGAGGGGAGCGTAGGAAATGACCATGAATAAGATGTCTACCCAGCTCTAAAGTAGACACATTTGAGTGTGATGTCGACGCACAAAGACAAGAAATGACGCACTGAAACCAACGTTGGTTAATCGCACACATTCATTCAGTGTGACAAAAGCAGTCACCCTCGTTTCGTTTTCAATCCAGGTCTGAATGGGACCTAATGTAGTCGTTAAACTGCATGTACTTCTCACCGTTCTCAATCCGTGCTTTCTCATTAGAGTTAATGAGATGACACACGCAAACTATTGATTGTGTTGGGTGGATAACAGAACGAGTGATCTAGTTCATGTGTGCGTGTGCGTGTGATCTTAGAGCTAGTTATGGGTGAGAACGTCAAAATCACTGTGTGCTACTCGCGTTGAAGCAAAAACCTCCAGAACATCAATATTCCAGTCAGATTACAATTCAATCGGTGATATTTGATGCCTGGGCCTCGAAACTTTTAAACTGTGATACACATCTTCGCTAGGGCCAGGTTACAAACCGTCGTTCTGGAAGGTTCGGCGTTTGGAAGGTGTAGCGACCCGACGCTTGACAGCGAACAAAGCGCGAGTGGAAACGGAGATGGAAAGCCACGGGGTGTTTCTGGTCCCAAACCTATCGGTATTGACTGCAGTACTGACCATGACAAAAAATAGCGTCCAGAGTACAACACAAACAAACTTTGTAAGTAGAGTAACAGCTGACTTTGTCGAGTGGTGGAACTTATTCGGATGACCAGGTTTGGCCAATCGGAAAGCATCAAACCAAAATGCTCTCCGGTTGGGACACTCGTCCAATGCATAGCTGACAAAGAACCCGTCGAAAGCACGAATGTTTCTCGAGCATAGAGCAGGGACGAAAAAGCCAAGGTAGGATTTGAACGACGACCGACCTCCGGGCCAGTTGTGGTTACACCTAAAGTTGGGGCACCATTTAACGCCCGCCTAGACGATAATGCAAGCTGAGGACTCTCGTCAGTTACCCACGAGAAAAAATCATTTTGTAGGTTCAGCACACAGTGACGACGAGGAGGTAAGCAAGGCGGGAAGAACCTCTTGGGAACCAGCGTCAAGATGGACAGATTGTTAAGCCAATGCTGGCTGAGCTCAAGATAGCTCAGTGGTTATGGTGCGAACACAAGGACTGTGAGGTCTGTGGTTCGAACCCAACCTCGACGGCTGCTCTGTGGGTTTGGACAACCTGGCATTATCCCAGCCACCGTCTCCCCTTCCGTCAGAATGGAAGCTAGGCATCGAAAGGGTGCTACAGCTGGGCGACTGAATGTATTCGTTATCCATCCTCGTTAACTATCAGCGTCTAGAGTGTCTGATTGGGTAACACGTCAAGTATAGTCAATCTAGTCTAACGGTGCCGTGAAATAGCTTAGCTCTGTTGGACGTTCTGCTCAGGAGAGACCCGGATAACGATATAACCCGCACCGACTACCGTAAAAAATATGCAGTAGTCTGATGAGCGGCACGAACACAGGCTGTTAAGGCGATAGCTATCCGAAGTGCTTCATATGAAGAAACTCAAAACAGGCCTGGCTGCAAACACCGGAAAGGAAGAAGCTTCACTGCATGTTAGGGAATCATATCTGCGAAATCACTAAGCAGGAACAAGAAGCCGTCCTGAAGAGCACTTTTTCGGCGGGGAATAGCCCAGTCTACCGTAGCTCTGAGACTTTCAGCTACCTCGAGAAGTCGAGCCTTTTGCAGCCCGTACCATCTAGTGACTGCAGTTGAGCCTATCTTGAAAGAAGGGACCACCTTCCCTTCCAAATAATAGGTGAACACATATAGCAAGATCAAGAAACGCGCGATGAGATAGAACTAATCTAACTGATGGTGGTGGTGTGAGAAGACCAAGGGAATTGACACACCGTAAATGAAACCAATCTACGCTAAAAGAACACTGTACAGTTGTTTCATCCTCATTGGGGATCATCACACGAAAATCCAGCAGTGAGATTCGAACCCGCGACCTCCCGGTCGTCGCTGGAGGTCACGGGTTCGAGACTTCCTGGGAGATGTGGACTGCTGGTGATTTCCAATAAGTACAGTGCTTCTTGGGTTTCCAGCGTGGATCGGCTTTATTTACAAGACGAAATTTCGGTTGAAAATCGTCTCATTGTCAATGAAGCATTCACTGGGGCAGCCGGTTCCCTGAGCCACTGACCACCGATTGTTTCTCTCGTCTGGATCGTTTACGTGTGCTGTGAATTAGTCTTTCGTGGGTGACTGACGAAGATAAAAAAGGTGCTAGAAACCCATCGAGGGGTCTTCTCATGGCCCTGAAAAAGTGGGTTAAGGGAGTTCGATATGAAACGAAACGCAGCACCTCCAGACGTTGCACAAAAACTACTCACCGACGACTGCTGAACAGAGTCCCACTGCGGATTATCCGAATAGACGATAAACTCGCCGGAAAGACCACGACGTTCCAGAAAAAGGCGCTTCGGATCAATTAGGAAGGGGGCATCGAGGCCGGGTTGCAGATTCTGAGGGTCAAGTTCGGAGTTTGGATCTGGCGACTGCCGGGGAGGGGAATGTCGACCCGGACGTACGACGTACACCGTAACCTAACGGGGGGGGGGAATAAGAGTATAAAGTAAGAACTAAACACTCGTTCATATGCTAAGCTATTCTCTACGCCCCCAAGGTATTGTAGCTGACCAGTTAAACAGACATTACGAGGGTTTATGTGGCTCCCGTCACCGGGCTTTCGGTCTGGTCATGTGGAATGATGGTGAATGGACACGTTAAACATAAATGCTTCTGCAATTATCTAAGAGTTGAGAGTATGGAAAACAAGACAGATTGGATTCAAGACACACCGATCCACCTTTGAGAGGGAAAAAGAGTAGTGGTTGAATGAGACTAAAACTTACCAGCCCAATTAGAACTGATATTGACAAACTGAGGATACGAATGGAACGGAAGGTCCAATAGCCAGCTGAAGTTGACAACGACGACCGGGTATGATTAGAAAGGTAACCTCTTCCACCTGACTGCTCTACACCAGTTGACGACGCATTTCCCACCTCTCAGCTGTGACACCCTTCCGGTGCCTAACTGCCATACTACCCGAAGGAAACACGAGGACTGGGATACTGCCAGGTTGCCTAAGTCTAGACAGGGGAAGTTGGGAGGCAGAGGTTGGGTTCGAACCACGGACCTTCCGGTCGGTAAATTCGCGCTCTAACCACTTGGGCCGTCTCGCCCCACACTATGAAAGAAACCGGATCACGTTCACCTAGACAAGGTAAGATAAACGGAATTTACCACGTCTATGCTGTTCAGGTACATCAAGGAAGTGACATGACAGGTGCCTCATGACCTTTAAATTTCTCATTTCTTGTTCCTCGTAGCAATCTGATGTTCTACTGTGCGCACACCGAACTGGTGCTTGTCTGTTCAACCTTTGATTCATTTGCAGTCGCATTGCGGTAGCGCGAATCTCGTTTCCACACGCCGTACGTTTTGCTCCCCAAATGTTACCTTCTATTGGTATACTGGGATCGGAAACCAGGGTTATCGATGCAGAATTTCCAAACGATGCAGTCTCAAGCGTCAGTAATGTCAGTATCTTATAATGCATCTCTACGAGTGGTACGTTTGAACAAATTTTCCTTCGAAACAATTGGCCTCATCCACTACACAATCGACCGGGCAACCGGCAGGAAAAAACGACAAAATAATCAAACGATGTCCCAATCTGAACGCTGCAGAATGAGTCGGTTGAATGCTTAGGAAAACTGACGACTGTGAGGGCACTGAAAGGCTCCCAGCGATGTACATCGCTGAACAAGTCCGACGCCATGGAAGACGGTACTTTAGCAAGCAGACGGCCAGGGCGGAATAGCTCCAATCCGCGCAGACGAACAGTCGGGTGCTACGTCCGCGGTATGTACCGGCGTCGGATCAGTAGTTGAGAGACAGTAGAGTATGAAGGGCAGATTTCGTTCCTGTGTTATTCTGTTCTGTCTGAATTCCAGAGCAGAACACAACCCGGAATTCTCAGACATCTGTTGCCGGTAATGTCACCGCCCTCTAGGTAATATCCACATAATTTGTTTCAGCAGTAAGTGCTGGGTTTGAACAAAGATCAATTCCAATGAAGCGGTCTTTTTTCCTCGCGTTATGCGCACGTGGCTGCCTCACGTGCTTTGGTCTCGCCATCTGTGTGTTTATAATTAAGTACCCACGAGGAACTTGGGACTTTCCTCCCTTGTTTCATTTAGTTGTGATCAGGTGTCATGTGCATTTACCGGAAACTATGGCGAAATATACTTTGGGCAAACCGTTCGGAAAGTATGATTGATCGCGTTGGGAAATCTCTGACTTTAGTCCAAATATGAACCTAGCGCCATGCAAATCAAACACGAAATATCCGCAACCATTGTGACTCTTGAATCCAATTTGACAGGTTGATATTTCCGCCCATTCGTTCACCTATCCCGTCTGTGCGTGTGTGTCTATCGATTTCCACCTGTTTTCCTCTATCATGGCATTTGCAATCGCTTAAGGATTGCCCCGACCAACACTGGGGTAGTCGCACAAGTGCATTCGTGTACCTGCGTTTCACCACACCTAAGTATACATCCTTGTTCGTGCTTGATCTGATCTGTCTGACATGAGCCGCCACGACACCAGTGTGGTCGCACCACAAGTCGGAACCGTGAGGGTGGTCGCGGAAATAGCGACCGCAACCGACGCGGCACTATGCCGTCCAGGCCATGACAGGCAGGCTTGCTGTTCCCTCACGAGCAAGGACAGCTGGATTGACGGGATATATTACTCACAAGGTTGCTGAAATCTCTTCGACAGTCCATGACTGATTCTCTTCTTGTCGAGGTGCGGTTACGTCAACTTTATGTGATACTTGAACCCGAATCGCGCGCAAGATCCGAGGGACGGCCACCTCCCTGCTTCTGCCACACTGAGCTGGACATGAAAAAAGCACTCTCTTCGGCAAATGATGGTTTGGTAGGCGGAACACACGGCCTAACCAAAGTATCAGCCATCCGGCCAACCATGGTACTTTTCGGCTCTCACGATTCTAATGGAAGATGGTAATTTTGGCGACTCAGCGTCTACCTGGAATCAAGGACGAACCAGTATTGGACATCCGCGTTCCTATGGCCAGCTGCGAGTATGACATGCTCCTGCACTTATATCGAGCAAAGACCAACGGATCTGAATGAGAATAACTGATCCAAACGAAAGAGCAGATAGACGATGTTCTATCACCGATTGCATACTGGCCTCAAATTCGTTTACCACGCAAATGTGTGGGATGAGGTGCGAGAATCATAGTCTGACTGGAACAGTGTAATCAGGCCGTACGGCTTGGGTTGTACGGAGAAGGTGGGACATCCGTTTTACCATTCAAGGCACCGTCCTCAGGGTCCTCTGAGGTAAGTTCACGGCTGCTAGCTGCATCAACAGGCACGAGGCTTATGTAGGAAAAACCGCGGAAAAATTCGAACGCCACATTAGTTGGCCAGGTGCGCTTTTGTCACCTATCATCAGAACAGTCCTAATCGCATTTCGCACCAATGAAACGATTAAAAAATCAGAAATCAAACCAAACCATATCCTAGGAGTCAGGCCACCCGAGATCGTGCAGGGGGTAACAACTCGACCCGCAAACCGAACGAGAGAATCATGGGGTATGTGGTCCACAGAGTGTTCAGTGCACACATCGTTCGCCATCGCGAAAACTCTACAAACCAAACTCAACGGGGTCATTCTGAAATCAACGGGGAGAACTGCACTGGAAACCAACACATGTAGTTGGTTGGTAAGCGGAAGTCCCGTGTTTGTTATTCCTAGATAGTCATTCGATCGTGATCGCTGATAGTTGCAAATAAGGCGATGAAATTCAATAGAACAGAGCATTAAATGGAGTGTAACGGTGATACTACTGACTGGGAGGCATGCGAGTAGTATGTTTTTTCGTAAATCCGCTTCGCGTTTCTTGAAAAATGAGATCTATTACGGAATTTGTGGAGTCTCTATGTAGCATTTGCTTACATTTGAGCAATAGTCAATAGATATCTAAGAAAGTTCAGGGAGACGCGTTCAAGGAGAAGATGGATAGTCAGTTTTCGTAAACAAGATGCATATGAGAGTTTTGCTTCCCTGTCCAATTGTCTTTAACTTTTCAGTTTCTAATGAATAACTCTGCAGAGAAGGCCTTCTTCCCTTCAAGGGTATAAAAAGTATAAATGAGGTTTTTTTAAAAGAATCGAAAGAAAACAGGCGAAAGCTCACCGTGGCTCAACTGGGAGTGGGACGGCTACTCCACCACTTGTTCGCATTTCAGCCAGTCGGGCGACATCAGCTGCCCATGGACCAGCGGCATTAACGACGATGTTGAATGTGATCGACGTCGTGGACCGGTCTGGAAGAGCAATCTGCGGAATACAACAAGACGAAACATACACATCGGTGTTCAATATCCTTGTTTGGAAGCTCAAAATTATGCCCTCTCGTAAATAGCTCATCTCAGTAACACGATACCAAGATCTCTACCCTGTATATTGGTGAACATCGAGAAACCCTTATACAGAGTACACGTCACTCGTTACAAAGTAAAAGGGAAGTAGTCCAGCCACTCGCTAGCCCACGGCCCGAGAATTGTATACAGTCGAAGCTACTGACGAAGAATGAGTAGTAAAGAAAAACAAACGGTTCACCACACCTCAGGTACTGCGTCCCAATCAGAGTAGCGAGATAGATTCCTGGGATGTCGATAGCTCGTAGTTATATCATAAACAGATATACTCAATAAGGTACCTGGGCGGTTTGAGCAGGATTAAACATAGATCAATTTCTAGGGTTTTAGGAAGCTTCGCACTGTGCTATATCGAACACAATACACGATGGACCAGCGGGTTATCCCACGGATAGTCCATCTTTAAAATCCGAAACCGGCGTTTTCGGTACACGGGAGGATTCACTCTAGCTGAATATAAGCAGAATCATTACCTTCCACATTCGGAATGCACAACCACTAACCCACCGCTACGCTCCCCAATAAAGCACTGATGATGTCACCTCGATTGGTGATGAAACGTTCGCAATCAAATTGCCCAGCTCAGCGAACAAGCCAACGACCATCTATGCTACCTGAGCTACCAACATTTCCCTCCATAGAAAATATTCAGTCATATATATATATATATAATAGAAAACCAATCAAGTCCGGTCAATAGTAGTATCGGAGAAAGTGGATATCTTGAACACATAATTAAGTTGTGGAAGACATTCGTATGTCAGTATGGTGTCCCTTTTCATATTCTGCGTTACTGACGCTCACCTTGATAGAATACAGACACAGCACCTAGCCTGAAAAATGAATGCATATCGCCACACATTCACAAGTTGGTGTTCAAGTATGACGTACAACTGATGGACATTCGGGGACTAGACCTACCTGATGAGCCCCAAAGAGGGTCAAACTACAGTAGGCTGCCCAGAGTTTTCATCAACCTTATGAATTGTGTGTGCAAGTACGTCCACGATCAAACAAGTGTGACAACCTTATGAATTGTGTGTGCAAGTACGTTCACGACCATGCCATGACATACAGCCCTCCATCAAGCTGTTACAAACTACGAACACTGCTCGTAAGGTTACTTTTCAAAAACGACCGTGGGCTACCTAATAAGTAGTGTTCTTTCGAGAGGATGTACTGCGATACCTTGAATATCGTACGAACTGGAGCATGAGGCGGCCTTGTATAGAACATTCAGTTAAATAAGAACAAGAAAAATGGGAGATTCAGTCGAATCCCCGTCAAAACCAAACAGGTGTGTATTTCGTGTTCCAAGGGTGGGCAAACATTATGGTCCGCGGAAATTCCCATGGAATTCGAAAGACTGCTCGTTTTTCTTAAGGTATACGTCATTCATAAAAAAACCATTCAGCTGTGGCATCCTTTCGGTGCCATGCCACCAGAAGGAAGCACGAGGACTGGGATACTGCCAGGCTGCCCAAGCCTAGACAGGGGAATTCGAGAGGCAGAGGTCGGGTTCGAACCACGGATCCTCTGGTCAGTAAATTCGCGCTCTAACCACAGGTCGATTAGTCCAGGGCTGTTTAGGTTCTACATCAGGCACACAAAGTGCCTGTACTGATTCGTTGTTGAACGTTTCATTCGATTCAGTTTTGGTGGATACTTCTCAGTCCAGTGGGGGCTGGCATGGATTGCGGCCTGTCACTTCAGTCTGATGTGATCACCCGAAAGGCGATGCAATTATATGGGAAGAATTTTCAACAGATTATCCATAAATGGTCTTCTGAGGGGAGGAGGGTTGAGACGTTATGAGATAAGGATCGATAATACCATCGGGGCAGCATGGATGAAATGCACACCTACAAACTGCGGTGATATTGCAGACGCTGTGACCTTGTATTCCAGGGGCCGATATAAACAGGGTGATAAAATACAGCCAGTTATTCAAGCACGATTATTGGTCCAACCGGCTGCTGGCTAATAGTGAATGGTCGGATTAGTCACCGACCCTTACGGGGGACCTCAGACGAATTTCACCGGATTTTCAAGGTCACAGTGTTGTTCCATCCTGAGAAACTCAACCATCCGGAGACTTTTGTTTCTACTGGGCTTTTCGAGGTTCGACAACGCGCACGATCACGGACAGTGGTTGCCGGTGCTTTACTGCCATAAACTCAGAAGCTCCAGACTGGGGCTCAAGGTTGCTTAGTGGTTAGGACGCGAGCTTACTGACCGGAAGGTTCGGGATTCGAACCCAACCACGGCATTTCGACCGCTCCTGTCTAGGCTTGGGGAAGCTGCCCGCGTGCTTCCTTTGAGTTGGAAGGCAGCTGGGTACCGAAGGGGCTATCGCTTATTAATTGGTGAAGAGGTGGCCCCGTGCTCCTGAGGAAGATTGCCGATGACAACGTAGCTAAGCCTTCCAACAACACCTTAACATCATGTTGAAATACGTGAAATCGTATGTCAATTAATTTCATTTTTCTCTCGCATGGCATGTTTCGCCGAAACCAAGTTCATGCCTGAAGTTGTCAACCCGGTCTTAGGAAGCGTCACACATCGATCGAACAGGTGGCTGTGCTCAACCAATCGATAGAACCCGAGGTTTCTTTTTAATAAAATGAGGACACAAACGTACCACAGCCTCCCTTGGTAATCGGCCGCATACCGGAGATCGTTTAGGCATATCAGGGAACTTCACTTCCGTGAAATGCTGACTAAGCTCGAAATCGACCACCTCACCGACGACGTAGTTGACCCCAAGAGTGTGACATTTCGCACGTAATGCTTTCAGCAAAAGCCACGGATCGAACCAGCCTTCGTTTTCAAAACCTACAAAAGGAGAGTTAAGGAAAAACAAAATCGTTCAGCTGTAGTACCCTTTCGGTGCCTAACTGCCATGCCACCCGTAGGAAGCACGAGGGCTGAGATACTGCCAGGTTACCCAAGCCTAGAGACAGAGGAAGTCGAGAGGCAAAGGTTGGGTTCGAACAACGGACCTTGCGGTCAGTCGATTCGCGCTCTAACCACTGAGCCAGCTCGACCCCCTTCAAAACCTATAGGGAGACAGAGGTAAACTGGGACTCTTAAAAACAATTGTAACCGTTGTTGGTTAGGTGCCCTTATAACACGAAGACGGCCGCAATCTGGGCGGTTGAGGACTCAAGTCATTCCCTGGAATCCGGAAGAGAAAACTGCTAGTGATCCGGAAGTATTGTACAACACGGTCTAAGAATCGGAATAATTCCAAACCCACCAATGACACTAATCGAATGAATAGTCCAATGAACAAACCTTACCAAGGGCTCGCCGAATTCGGTAGTTTAGTGTTGAGAATGCTTTCATTGCCATACAGTCAAAGTTAACCTGATTGTATTCCATGCCTCAGAATTAAAAGGTAAGCGAAGTGGGGGACCTATTGCTGACCTATCACAAGCCTTCTGAGGTCCCTATACATCCGAGCGCTCATTCAGACACCTGGAAAGAAACTGACAGCAAGAACGCTACTGGCACAAATCAGCCGTTATTTCATGCGATGGTCCCAGCCAAACGCAGGACGAGTCACGGGGATCCCATCCTGGGAGGGTACTGCATCAACAATGCCTAAACTCTTCTTAATCTCTTCCACACCCTTCTGCCAACTCATAAGTTATCAAACTCATGGTTTCCGCCATTCTGAAGGAAGCACGAAGAACAACACTCGTCTCGGTATACGGTGTTTGGGCATGTGTAGCAAACGGACAAGTCGACGCATTTGATGGCGGAGAATGTTTTCCGCGATTGGAGTCCCTGCTACACAACCTAAGTATCCGTTTTCTAATCACCTCGTTAGGAAATTGTTGACGTCATCCGACATCACCAAAAATGAGCCGTTTGTGATCGGCGCATACCTAAGACTCATAATCCCCATTTTCCGTGGGTTTCAAGTACGGCAATGAGGCCGGTTCCCCACGAAGTTTAACAATGCGTTTCCACTTTCGTTCACTGAGCAGTGTGATCAAGCCACTGACGAAGTGGAGTGCTGTTGATGCGCACCAACGCCAGTTCTCGGTCTGATCCTCCCAACTTAGCGTTTTTCAGCAAATAACCACGAAGAGTGTACGAAGTGCATTAAACATCCAAAATCAGGTTAAAACACATGTACGAAGGTGTCGTACCTGAAGTGTGTGTGACGATAACATTCTGAAAAGTCGAACACTTAGACACGCCTGCGCGTCTCTAGCCATTGATGTGGCCCGTCTCGGGGTCCCCATCCAGGAAGACGGCAATGACCAGCGCAGCTGAGTTTGCTGGTAATGGCTTTCATACTTCGCTGCCAAGTCATTGTTTGACCGCCTCTGGCTCTCTTCCACCCTTCACGTGGTTGTGCGAAAAGAGCTCTTCGAGGAAGTCGGTCGACTGACATACGCAACACGTGGCCAAGCCAGCGCAACCCACGCTATGTGAACAGTTCATCTATCGAGGGTGAGTTATTTCTCCCGAATACCATTCGACGAACTTCGAGA